CCATAAACCGGAATCCACCATCAGGCAGCAGATAATGAGGCCCAAAGACCAGCTACCTGCAACGGAACAATCAGCAGTGGTCTACAGCATACCTTGCCAAGATTGCGGTGCAAGGTATGTTGGTGAAACGGGCAAACGCCTCTGCACAAGATTGCACGAGCACCAGCTTGCAGTCAACCGCGAGGATAAGCTGTCACTGGTATATGGCCACATACAACAGGAGAAGCACAGTTTCGCCTTTGGGGAGGCGAGCGTCATCGACCGAGCGAGCGACAAGATGGCCAGACTGGTTCTCGAAAGTTGGTCCTCAGTTGACACAATAAACAGAGCCATTGATCTTCATCCGGCCTACCAGGCCCTTCGTACGAGGCTCCAGTCAGCTCGGACGGGGCCGACAGCACTGGCGAACAAATCGCGGCTCTCTCAACAGTTGTCACCTTCCCAGCAGGGGGAGAGAGCCAGCCGGGTGTCAGACGACCGACGCGAGATATCGACCCACCGACGCGCCCAAACAGCCGACCCCGATTCTTACATGCAACGGCAGCTGATCAGCCCGTCAAATTATGGGGGGAGGGCCCAAGGGCACACGGACCTAGCAGCGACAACACCGGCCGGGCAGGGGGCAGAGGTCACACCAGCGCCCCAGCGGTCGGCCACGGAGAGACCTAAGCCAATCCCCCGCCAGCAGGCAGGTCAGAGTTCATGTAGCAGGCATGCCTATAACACGAGACAGGCGGCGAGACAGAACAACTCTGAGCTAGCAGGAACAAACACCCTACCACTACTCTGATGATGGAAACGAGGAAGTTTCCGAAACGTCAGCACCAATACAGTGTGGTCCATGGCATCGCCTCTTTTTCTTCTTCGTCTTCTTTTGGGGATGATGAACGGGATATACATATATATATATGTACAAAAATAACCTGTCTTGTACTCTTTCGGTAGTAAATTTTGCCATATTTAAAGCTTATACTTACGTAACGGGCATTTTACGGTTATAAAAACCCTTTCAAGTTCCTGAATAAATCTGAACCCGACCCGCTACTAAACTCGTATTCAGGATTTCCCGCCTGCAATAAGAATATTTTACCTATCAGAAAAACCATACACTTTATAGACTATAAGGAGAACGTCACACATTGCTCAAAAAGACATACGACGGGTGTAAACCGTGTTGTATACTTCATAAGCAGTATTAATGGGTGAATAGACACGATGCTTAATAAATCGACGTCTCTTATTTTAAAACATATCATAATTAGAAGCATTTTCAAACTAAAAACTATCGTTTAGGCATGAAACCCGATGCAGACATAGCTTTCTGCCACAGAAAATAATATTTTTGCCTTTGCGTATATCCAAATGCGCAACGGCGTCGAAAATCATTTGGAAAAGTCAATACCATATAAGAAGTCCTTTTTTACAGACTCCATTAAGTATATCCGAATGCGCAACGGCGTCAAAAATCATTTGGAAAAATCAATACCATATAAGAAGTCCTTTTTACAGACTCCATTTTTTGCAGTCTGAATGGAGTGCTCTCGAGAGCAGGCGTCCCGACCTAATTAAATTATCTTGGGATTTGGTTTTACAGGACTTCATGCTACAACCCAACTTTAGTTGTATTTCGGATTAAGAGTTGACTTGAGAATTTCGATCACCATTTCATAAGTTTCTAAATTATTGCATCTCTATGATAAGCGACCCGCTGACGCGACAATATGGTGTAATCTGCGGTCTAGTGACACAATATTCATCAGCCGTGCCATGTAGAATCTACCGTAAAAAGGAGGGAAGACTACCTTAGCACTCCCCGCTGCACATGCCAAATGTATGCTGCGAGGCAGGACACATCTCATCGGAGGCTAATATTGCTGTTGTGCCCTGTTTGGAGCTGCAGTCACCTCTCACAGAAAGGTCATGCGCAGGGAAAAATCGGCCGATGTTTGTAGGATCCCATGCCGCAAGTCCCCCTTCCAGGATAGAGTTCTGGCTACAAAAAGAGCTCAATTTACAACGGCAGAAACACAAACTCGCGGTTTTTGGGGGTGAGTCAATGACCCAAACGACTGCTCGTAAAATAAATGTACTCATGTGCCTTCATGTGTTGCCACTCGGAAGGTGGCGCGTAACTGTAGCATAACAGGTCGGAACTGCCGGGGGGGGGGCTTTGATCCCTGATGGCAGAGGCATAAACCGGCCTATCAAGCGCTGCTTGCCGAGGATTCACTACCCCATGGGCGTAACCCCGTTGCCTGCCAGGGATGTATGAATTTGATAGGGTGTAGATTCCTACAAAATAGTCCACTGTTACCACCTCTCTGATCAAGCGTAGGAAGTGCTGTTAGCCAGGCAGCCTAGTTTACAGGACATAAGTTAACTTTTAAAATTTCTTCCTTAAGGAAAGACGTCAATTAATTGCGAAGGGGATAGGACGCAGGCAACTTGCCATCAAGGAATATCAAACCCGGTTCTGGTAACAAGAGAGTAGTGGTAGGCTGGAGAAATCAGAGGAATATTCCACCCTGTTGCCGGTAGGTTTCAACTGCCCCGGTTCAGCTTTTGATCATCCGACGCGTTTGTACATTTTGTGAATGCTGTCCGGTTCACCTTGATTCCATTTGCGGATCGAGGGCGTCATTCGCCTGAAGTTTCGGATTCACATTCGATCCATTATCATAGAAGGGACCAGATAGATTTGATTTACACAAGTGCTGCATCTAGTAAATATGTGGATGAATGTGCTGGTAGTTCGCGTTTCTTCTTCCCCGATTCAACTTCATGTACAATTCTTGTTCATTTATATCATTTTACATTCTTTGCGCAACCTTCGTCGGTAAAATAAACATATTCATAAGATAATACCTTTGTGGCCGAGATAAAGTTCATATTCATCCATTAGCAGTTTATTCTTACTCTTGCAGAATATACCGTATCTCCTACCTTGCTTAAGGACCTCAAAACCGGCCACTGCTCAAATCAAGCTTCCTCTGTAAGGTTGTCCTGTCAGCTGTTAAACCCTCGACTGGCCTACCTAATTGGGACTTTAAAGAATTTTTTTAGTTGTACTCTAACCATAATGGAGGAGTCGAATTTTTGGAAGTTATGAGTGGCTTTCATATGACGTCTGATATTCTCATTGATGAATTCTATGCTCCAGTAGTTTTCCTTTTAAAGATTTTCCTACAGCACTTTGCGTAAAATCATTGAATGGTCTTATTTCCATTATGTCAGTAAGCAAAGTAGAAGTCTACCAACATTTCTCAAAAACTTCTCTTTTATGAATGATTTTCTCATTCCTCTGGCCAACCACAGAAATCCCTTCATCAATATTTTGAGCTGTCTTAAAAGTTCACAATGGGGAGAATCCTGTTGAAAAAATCCATCGTTCAAACAACAAGTGTTATGACTCAGCACACTTTGGTAACCTTAAAGTTCTTCTCTTTCATTGAGTCAGTCATTTGGTTGTTCAGTCTGAATTATCTAATATTCATTGTACTTGGTGACGGCGGCTTGCTTTTTCACTTAAATGACGCCAATGTTGTAAAACAAACAGAAAATCTGTTTTGCCGACGTAACGCACTGTTAAGGAAATTCCTACAAACCAGCTTTCTGCCCTTAAAACCGTATTCAGACTTTCAGTAACCCTGTTTACAGGAGTGCCGTCAATCGATCGCGATTTTTAACACCACGTTCGTTCTTCGGTTGCAGAAAGCCTGCTTTTTAGGAATTTTAAATTGGCGAATATTCCTTGGACGGCACCATGCCAACAGGCAACCAATGAAATACCGTGTGCATTCGATGATCTCAGAAAGATCTTTCGGTAGAATAAAGACGTTCAATTTTTAGGTCTCTTTCTGTTTTTTTTTTAATTTTTCTTTTCACTCACTGTTATAGAACTCAGCTTTCATATGCTCCTGTCTGAATACATCAAGAAATACAACTCGTATTTTTTCGTTATAGCACTGTGTTCTGCCGGTGGCCATTCTACATTCTCAACTGCGGATTGAGCCGTATCAAGATCGCAGTTAAATGGAATAAGTTTGGAACGTCCTCGAAGGATTTGGAGGGTTCTTGCTCTCTAACGGGAAATCATAACGAACGAAAATTCATTCTTTGTAGCCCGCTGAACTCTTCACTGTGATTTGCATTCCCTGTTTTTCTTTCAGATATCGCATTAACACGCAGCATCCTCATTTAGAGTTAAGAAATTTTATTAGCAATCTCGAAGCTTTTAATATTTACGCTCCAAGTTTTAGAGAGTGGAATTTAAACCAAAGACACCAAAGCATTTGCCCGAGTTACACAAGGACAGCCAACCAGATAGGCAAGATAGGATACCTTCTTTTCTCAACTTCATTTGTTGCCAACGACACACTTTATTCACCCCTTTTCATGGATTATGCAAAAAGCATGCACTTTAATGTGCTTTCTTAACTTTTTGGTCATGCAACACTCTACTTTCAGCTGTTCTTATTGTTTAAAATAAAGATTTGTGAAAATACCGTAAAAATCAATGGTATATCTGCGACCAAGCTTTATCGTTTGCACTAAAATTATCAGAATTTTGGTCGAATGAGTCAGCCAGACACAAACGTGGGGTGTTGATATGGAAATCTGGGACACTTTAAGATATAAGAACATATTACAGTAATCCTACTGGAATTTGCCTCCCTGATAAACCTAAACTGAACACCCGCAATTGAGAAAGGGTGGGAGTCTGAGCAAGTAAAAGACTGAGAAACTGTAGCGACCGAAATTCGGAAGACAAGGGCGCTAACACGTAAATATCAGCTATGCCCAGTTAAACAGCGGTACATGGAGTTAATCTGATAACCCGAGGATGAAGAGGGGGATAAGTGTGCAGAGCAGATAAAATTGATAAAATATGAAAAAATGGCCAAAAGATCAAAACGTGTGGAGTGGAACGTAAAACCAGACAGTTTTGGTTATTTAACATTTAAACCGAGACGCCGACGTGAAAACCATGGAAGCGGTGCGGTGGCATGTTGAAGTGAGGAACGTTTTGCGTTACAACGTATGCTACTCCCTATATTTAATTAAAATCACCCTATAACGTCTTTGTTAACTGTCTCCGTCGGACGTACACATGCGAACCAGTGAATTCTGACTGAAGCATAAACTTTGTTTACGTATTGTTTGGCCCATTTCAGTACCACGCAATGATTATTTCACGATTTTGACACGGTATACATACACTGACACATTCATACACTTTCGTGTTATTAATTACCTACCCTTCTTTCAAACTTGCTTTGCGTATTTCTTTTTGTGAAATAAATAATAATTAATAAGGAATTCAAAGGCGTTCGCCTAACTTTCCCTTAATAAACTGAACTGAACTGAGCGACCCAGAAGGTGGACACACACCTAACAGAACCCTAACACCCCCGGCTCCCGTTTGTGGTAGATATGCTTCTACAGCAGTTTTTATCAGAGGTCCGTGACAGCTTTTCCCCACAACTCATTCCGGAGTCTGGCATGTTGCGAAGAACACATTTAAAGAAGAAGATCAGGAAGATGAAGAAGAAGAAGAAGAAAAAGATGATGATGATGATGATGATGATGATGATGATGATGATGATGATGATGATGATGATGATGATGATGATGATGATGATGATGATGATGATGATGATGATGATGATGATGATGATGATGATGATGATGATGATGATGATGATGGAGAGGAAGATGGTGGTGGTGGTGATGATGATGATGAGGAGGAGGGGGGAGAGTATGAAGAAAAAGAAGATGAAGATGAAGATGAAGAAGAGGCAGAAGAAGAAGAAGAAGTAGTAGTAGTAGTAGTAGTAGTAGTAGTAGTAGTAGATGGGGGTCGAGCACGGGGACATTTTGTTTATTTTTCTGAGCTTTCGAACTCGTGCAGGAACCCGTCGTCAGATATAGTAGCAGCAACAAAACAAGCAACTGTTATAGGGTCTGTTAGCCAATCACCGACTGGCGGTGAAAGACTAAGGTTGACTGCGCAGGGCTCTGTACGCCGGCGCCAGATCGATAAATCGATCGACTGAGTTCTCATCCGGGGCCCAGGCTTCAATCATTTCTCGGCCTCTTTTGTTTTCGGCGTGGGCGGCCACCTAAAATAATGCGTTACCTCGTCGCACAGCCGCTGCTCGACCCCTCCCCCTCTTCTTCTTCATTTATGCACACACCTGAAATTTAAACCTTCCCCTTCATTCGTGAACAATACATCTGTTGAAGTTGTATACCCGATGCTTTAATAGTCCCCGAAGATCGTGCGCATGACTTTGACGTAAAACGTCTATCGCGCTGGAGTACTTACTTTGCTGTTTGGCCCTTGTTGGTTTATCTCTCCATTTCAAGCGCGAAACCGAACTGGGGTGAACGAGGCCATCCCCCAGTCCGGGAGGAGGGGGGGGGGAGGGGAAGTTCATCTTCCATTCTCAGTCCAACGGGTTAATCATACTGTAAGTTTTTGCGCTCATATGACGCTGGTACGTTTCTTAAGTAGGTCATCCTGTAGAAATAATCGCATAGGTAAACTACTTTCGGTTATTTGTTTTTGGAAGACGGGTCTGGACTGGGTCATCTGTTAAAAACCCTGGCGCTGATCTTGTCATATGGACGAGGACGGATGGGGTCAAACAGCAACTTCGGCGACTGGCAGTTGAAACTTCACCTATCTCACCACTCTCCTTTTTAAATGAATAACAGGAAATAATCTGGTGGCGCGCTCGTTTCTATAGGGACATCCACGCTAGGGATGCACCCACGTTAGATGCAATGCGAAAACTTACGGTAATATTAATTCCCAGCGTTAGCAGTAAAAAATAAACGAACCGCGAACTAGTAGGGCTTAATAGTTGAAGTCTATTCTGCCTTTTTCTAGGCATATATTAGGACTGCGCCAAATAACCTTAGGGTCTACTTATGAACCCCTTCCAGAACTTTATATTATGTCCGCGGCTTTCAGCCAACACTGAAGAGCGAGCTTTGGATGGCGGAACAAACGTCCTGCATGGTATCTCAATGTTTAGCTCGGTCGCATGCGGAATAGCTTGCGAATAGAGTGACGCCTTCATCAGTTGACCGGATCTTGTAAGTTTGCTTGTGACGATGGGAGTACAGGTGAAACGATGAATCCTTGGTTTGTAGATGACCGGCTTTACGAACTAAATTCGTCGATTGACGCTATGTACGCATTTACTTATAGATCCCTCCTTGGGGACGCAAAGCATTTCAAACTCAACTATCATAAAGTCTTCCGACTTTCCCTGGTTGCTTTAGCAACTGTTCTCAGCCTAAAGTTCCGACAAATTCTTTCTTGAGACGTGGACCAAATGCATCAATCTTCCACGTTTCAAGTCAGTGTTGCGGAAGTTAATAACTACGGTGGTGTGCATAAAATTCCATCGTTAGCTAAACACCTCGGAAAACGTACGTTTTAATCACATTTCTGATTTTGATCAGACTAATCAGTTTCTGAGCACGCTACGCATGCAATTTAACCTAAAAACTCTTGCATGCGTGTCTTCTTGTCTTTTTCCACCTTATCGTTACTGTCCTAAATGAGCTGCGGTTAGCGGAAGTCACCTAAAGTAGGTGTGCGAACTCATGAAATGTCAACCGAAATTTCGAAATGCGTTCTCGTTTCGAAAAGATTAATTAAGCATGATTGTAAAACTAATTACCGTTCAGCATAATTCTATAAAGATCCAGTTACCGGAGGCTGCCGGCTATAGAACGAACTTATTTTCGGCTGCATGAAAAAACAGCACTTTGCCAAAAATGACTACTAAAGTAACATATGACTTTCTCATAGATGTTTAATGCCCTTAAAAGTTCAATTATATTTCATAAAAAATGCATAAAAATACTCATCCTTTTAGTTATTCGGTAGAAAATAACGTCTTCTTTCAATTTTTTTACTCGAATGTAGAGTATGATTTGGTTTAGGAAAAGTTTCTCTTTGTGAGATTTTTTTAATGCCGTGAAATGGCCGTTCGTAAAAAGTCATGTATCAACATTTGCCGATGTGGCTTATAAAGTTAACTTTATTGCTCAGATTTACTGTTTAATTTTATGAACCCCATCTAGTCTCTTCCTAATAGCGTAGAGAAATGCATGGTCTTCCGTACACGGAAAATATACGTCTTGTAGTTTTAAAACCCTGAAACCCAGCAGGTTGAATTCAAAATTATTCGATAATTAGGAACGCTTATTTTGAAGCCGAACTATACTCTTCTTTCGAATATAAAATGAGAAGGAAACGTTATTTTCTACCGAATAAGTAAAAGAATGAATATTCTTATACATTTTTTGCGAAATATGATTTTACTTTTAAGGGCATCAAAAATCTATGAGAAAATTGCATGTAACTTAGATAGTCATTTTTGGAAAAATGTTGTTTTTGCATACAGGCGGAAATAAGTTCATTCTAACGCCGGCAGCCTGCGGTAACTGGATCATTATAGAATATGGCTGGACGGTAATTAGTTTTACAACCATACGTTATTTATTTTTTTCGAAATGGGATCGCATTTTAAAAATTCGGTTAGCATTTTTTGAGTTAGCCCACCTACCGAACTTTGGCCTTCATAAAACCTTCGGCAAGTTACCGTGTAAACGTTTTTTAGTACAACTGCAAGCCCTCGGCACCCAGATACCCCCTCTCTGACCTTACTAGTTCCTGATTGTCCAGCCGCTGTTAGTCACTGTTTGTAATTGCTACTGAAAACCTCAACTGAGCACAAGTGCCGTTCTTTAGTGCACAGTTCCGAGTTTGTAGCCCTTCCTCCCTTGCTCTTATGACATGTCCGCAGTAGTCGGGAATTCGCTAAAGTTAGTTTGGCGATGGCCTCAAATCTGCTTATTCATTTTCAAGGGACAATGGAAATGTTTACGCTGCAAAAATCATCTTCGATCTTCATTACCTATGGATATTGATTTCTACTTGGCGGACGGAAAATTCTTCTCCCAACTATAGTTTCATATCTTTTGACCCCGCCAAACTTTCTGTAGACCGTATTCCCACGAACGCTGTCCAGATATGTGATTCCATATCGCAGACATTTGTCTCCAACCGATAATACACGTCTCGTCTTTGCCGTCCTGGAGTACTGGTGCTTTATCTCCAGGTAAATAAACGTATGTGTCGTTATTTAAATTAAAATTGCCTACAGCATTTTACTCGCAGAACCTCCTCGCATGTGAAATCCAATAGTTTATGCACTGACATAAATTCCTCTATGAAAATTAAGTTTCTATTATATTATAGTTTGTAGATAGGTCTTTGCATCCTGTTTTGCTTAAATAATGTCTTGAATCTTCCACGATCTGACATCGTCTCTCCAGCAGATCAACCTTATGTCACATGTTATTCCTCCACGGTCGTCCTAGCATCTACTTGCTATCTGTCCAAACCTGTTTTTTGCATCTAAACATACTTTCTATTGGAATAATCTTCCTCTGGAGACTAGGACACCCTATGGAATATCAGTATCCGAGATGAAAATAAGTAGCCATTTTAACTATGAAAGTACAAAGTCATTATTATCCGTCTTCTTTTTAAACGCAACTTTTTGGACTTTGAAAAATGTCCTCATGGAATTTACGGGTAGATTTTTGTGCTTGGCTTGTTCAGCCGGAAACTCTAACTGAATTCTAACGACTCCTTATGACCTACATTCGTTGTCAAGCACGTTAATATTATCCTCTATAAGAGGATCTTCTCAGCTAGGCGAATTGTTGACGATGTCTTGCGAAATAGCCAGCCAAAGAACCCAAGTACCGATCATAGCTAGAAAGTCCAAAGTGTCTCAATCTTTCTCGCTGTGTAACAGGCAAAAAGGTGATCCTATCTTGATTCGTGGGATATTATATGACCTCGAATTTTACCCCGTGGAACTATGCATGGATAAATCCAGCCTGAATGCTTCAAACAGCTTTTAACAGAAAGTTATTTTGCCTCTCGGAATCAGTTATAGGATGAAATCGCAGTAGTTCTTTAGAAAAAACAGTTGAACGATTATGAGTTTTTCTGGTCAATATACTGAGATTAAGCTATCGATCACGCAAAATCCACAGAGAAATTTGATTCCGAAGCAATGTTGCATAAATTATGTATAGGGATATAAGAGGGGCATTTTGGAATCCACGCACAACTGCCTAGAGCACGTCAAAATATAACAATAAGTGTAAGTGCTTTGCCGAACACGTCATGGTGCCCCTCAAAAGATCTGTCAGAAACTACAATAAGAACTCTCCATTATTTTTGTAAGGTGATACTGTTGCCCATCCCATCTGTAGGTGCCCTCAGCATTGAGTTTACGGAAAAGAACACGATAACCCTTCGTGCAGTACATTTCAGCATGATAATGAATGCAAGAGCCCCAATGCCGGAGCAAGTACGTCATATGTATCTCCTATATAAATAAATAAGTAATTTTTACTAAAGACCCGTCGGGTTTCCATCAAAGCAAAAAAATAAATTTACGTAAGATGCAATTCATAGTTTCTGAATTTGTAGTCCGTCAAGGAAACCGATGAGCGAGCGGTAAAACAAATTCCACTTAAGAACTTTAAAATAATCGGATTAATTTAAGAAGAGAAAAAAAACGTCGCCCATAATAACAAAAACGCGGGCAGGGCTGACCCCTGTGGCGGTTTATAACGTGTAGTGTGAACAGCAATCAAACTACAAATAATAATAAATACTTAATTCTAAGTGAGAGGTGCTGCGGTTCTAACGAGAAAAATAACGATAAAAGAGAGAGTATAAGAGAAACGACAAAAGGTAAATAACTGTACGGACTCACGAAAAATAAAGCCTTCTCCAGAATCGTTGACCGTTGGGTGAATGTTCTGGGTAAAATCACGAGACAAAGTCAGTTAATGAGGCTTGTCGCTCAGGTGAAATTACGTCGAGTTTAATATGGCCAAAAGGTATAAAAGGTTCGTGTCGACTGATTTAAAGCGGTTGACGCGAATGAGTGAAAAATCGGAAATGTGCGTAAACCTACAAATGGAGTATAATCGGACATCTTCGGGGCAGAAATAAATGTTAGACTTGAGGGGTACGTATGAGAGTTAGACAGGGCTGGTCTGTGTGCGGTATTCTATACGAGATTCAGAACGGACATCGCCAGGGCAGACTGATACGCTGGATGAGACTATTCGGGTCAGAGTGGCCAGACAAGAGGAACACAAACGCGGTCGGCCACAGTCTGTTTCGAGCCCAGCCGAGAAGTGAGGAAGGGAGGTACGACTAAACTACTAGTAGACAGCAAATACTGAGGCTTCCGCCGTGAGCGTCGACAGACCGCTTGGGGTCGAAATGAGGGAGATGGCATCAAGGACCGCGAAATCGTCGCTATGGGAAAAGAGTGGTAGCAGTGGATTTAGTAACCAATTTAAGACAGGGGGTTGAAAAGATATAAGTGAAGGTTTCCGCCTGATGTACCATTTAATCTCAGGAGGACCATTCTCGATGTCAAGAAGTTGAGTGTTCGCGAATGAGACCGCTAAAGGGCCTTTATACTTTTAGTGTAAGGTGTTTGAGTACTTTCGACTTGAATACCAGTAACTTAGGCAATAACCTAATTTCTGGCGGAAGATTATTCTAAAGGAAGGCATTTTTGTAGGCAAAAAGAAGGAGCGCTTAGATGTAGTGTAAAGAGGCGGCGGAATCCCCATGCAGGAGTTGCGCGTGGTATATGACCGATCTCTCGAAGTGAGATTGTCAGTGAGTGGAAGACTGGAGCTCGAGTAAATACGAAAAAAGAAACAAAGGACAGCTTTTAGTCTCCTAACCCACAAAATCTTAATGTTCGCCAGCTGACATCTCCGAGTAAAAGAAGTGCTAAATGCGACTTGGAGAACAGTTTCCGGGTGAAAACCCTCTGAAAATTTTTCGATCTTATTACGGTCATAGGCATTCATTAAACCAAAGAAAAGACAGTAGCCATCGAGGACTAGAAGAATAAACATTTTTTAAAGTCTTAGCCTCATTTCCGGAAGGTAAAAATAATGTGATAGGAATCTACATATCTGCGCGACTTTGGCAGAGATTCTATCTGCATGAGGCGATGAAGCAAGTTTATTTGTTTGACTTAAACCTCGATCCTTTGTGGTGAACCATCCTGAAAGTGGATTATTCAGAAAAATTATGCGACCAGAAAGCTTGCAGGACCAAAAGACATGAAATTACACCTGGATGATAAAAATTCTACCTGCCATGTCGAACCCCATCCTGCTGAAGCGTGGTAAATCGGCATTTATTTTTTCAATACAAACATTTGCGGAGTCCTTAGGATATGAGTAAACACAATTGAGGTCATAAGCTTAAATAACACTTTGTGAATGTCTGAGTATAGTCGAAATATCATTAATGCAAAAAGGAAGATTAGAGGACCCAGAACCGCGACGGACGAAAATCAGTCTAATTTTGATGAGCCATCATCCGTCAGGAGCACTACACTGACGCTATATCGTCCTAGCGCGAAGGGAACAATAATGAGCTCTTATATAAGTAGTAAGCAAAATATTATAATAAGAAGTGTCTCAGAGTCCGCGTCGTGCATTCCGAAGGGACGGGTGATGCACGTCCCAGACCTTATTCATCAATACACCAGTGCCGTCCAGAAGGATGTGAAAATCATAATCATAAAATACGCTTTCCTACTAGGCAAAGCTTACCTAAAAACATCCTCAAGACCCCTAAAATTTATTTTCGAAGATGAAGTCCGAGCACCGCTTCTGTTAGAATGCGGGACGGCCTTACTCAACTCGGTAAAAGGAAGTGTTTTTTCAACCAGATTACGAACCGAGGGAAAGACTGAAAATGAGAGCACTGATATCCGAACTGAAGGAGAGAATAGGCAGAGGAGAGAATGGGCTGAAGATCAAAAATGGACAAATAGTACAGACCAGCTAGACCTTCCTGTGGTTAAAACCTGTCACAGTGAAGCCTGGGTCTCTCCGATAAATCAATAATTGAAGTTTATTTCCGCAAGTGTACAAAGCCTCTGCAACAAACTGGACGAATGAAGAGACTTAATTGATTAAATTAAGTCAGATATTGTGGCTTTCACGCAAACCTGGCTTACTGAAGAAATCGCTGAGATATCGCAGAGAAACAGGCTAAGCCGAGGATCATGAGGAGTCGTAATTTATATCACCTGTAAGTTGACCGCTATGGCTGTTGTACATAGTCTTAAACGGGATGTACAACTGTTGAGCACTACCATATCCGTTAAGAATATTCGATCACTGACGCATTCACTGGTGTATCGTTCACCTATGCAGACTTCTGCCCAGGATCTCATGCTCATAGCTGAACTGCACAAAGCCAGTGAAAAGAAAAATGTACATAGCGTTGAGTATTTCAACGCCCCTGACACTGATTGGCAAACTTTGACTAGACAAAGGCCGCAAGACAACTTTAATCACAAATTACTACAATGGGCAACGATCATACTTCTCTGCCAAGACGTAACCTTTGACCCACGGGCCATGGAATAACAACAGCCAAACTGCCTTGACCTTACTGTTACCCGAGAGGAGGAAAATTTGCTAGACCTGCAGTCCCATCCAGCGTTGGGGTCAAGAGATCACATCACGCCCTACTTCGAGTACTCAGTATTTTAAAAACCGATTCCGCCTGATAGGTGGGAGAAAACGTATGGAAAGGGGACTAATCTCTCATGAGGACAGAAGCGGCAGCAGTATCAAGGGAGACTGAACTACATGGAAGAGCAAAGCACAATATGAATAATTCCAGTTCCATACAAAAACAGATTATTTATTCCAACAGTCCTCTAGAAAAAAAGACAGTCCCAAACTGCCCAAATTGGATAATCTCGGACTCAGAGGCCTCTTTAAAAAACGCCTTTGGCGGCATTACATAATAACCGGCTCCTAAGAAGGCTTACGGTACTATGAGCAATAACGCAACGTTTCTACAAGTTGGCTTCCAAACTGCGAAGGAAGTTCGAACTGATCATACTGCAAAATTCGTTGGAGCAACCGGAAATTCTATACGGCTATATATGCGTATTAAAAGGACTTAGGAACTGATCCCTGCCGTTAGATTTTCAGATGGAACAACGGAGACCAATGATCAGGTTAAAGCGTTCCTCCTTTCTAAACTCTTTCAGTCCGCCTTCACACAAGAAACTTGTTCTGTATCTGTCCATCCATCCATTCACCAATCGACCTCTCCTCGTAGTCTCCTTCCCCTTTTTCCCCCTCTCTACTCTTCTTAATCGAGGAGCCACTTTTTTCACCGACCATTGTTAGGGCCTAACTACTCCGGCTGAAATCTACCAAACCGCCTTGCCCCGGATAGAATTCCCGCACTAGCACTTCATGCGATTGTAATGAACTGTTCAAACTACTGTCTGCAATATTTCAGCAGTCGTTTGAAGATGACTAGCTCCTGCATTAACGGAAGGGGTAGTCCTGTGGCGGTCAAGGATGTGAGATCAACTAAAACCACGCACAATAAGTTCGTTTCGTCTAACGACAGAAGTCAGGGAGCTGTGATGACTAGTTTATTCTGTACACAGGGCAGGTTGCCGTAAGTTGGCGATTTGCTTGCAACAGAGAAAAGCGTCCTTTCAGGGAGAGCGTCAGTCGCGGTGTGTGTGTTGTTTACACGGGTGTGCGTCTGGGTCAGCAGGAAGGGTGACTGGCTGAGTGTTGGTCGTGTGATTGGACAAATTAGGGGAGGAATAGGGGCGCATGCACACAATGCCTCACGGGTATCAAGCCAGGGCGTTAGATGCGCGTGAGGTGATGAAAGTTAGTGAGGTCAGCCGACAGTCACTGAAGTTGGACCGGAGGTATCTGAATGTTAGCCGGCGGGGGTGGCTGTGTGTCAACAGCTTGTCACGGCCATCGACCGACAAAACGGAGCCGGAGAAAAGGGGGGCTGGAGCGGCTGCTACAACTCCCCCCCAGACACCAAACGAAGTGAAGGCGTCGACATGCTAGCCAGCCACAAACCTGTCGGGCCAGTGGACGTGACGACCAGATCGTGTGTGTGGCGAACCGGAGGGGGGCTGTCGCCAGCAGGTGGAGGAGGCCGCACTGTCTGAGGCGGGGTGCGTTGTTGAGGTGAGGAATGGTCACTGTCGTCGATGTAGGCCGGCTTGACGCGATCAATGCTGACTGTGTCGGTCTTGCCGTTGCGGTCGATGACAACATCTTTGTCAGATCGGCGAAGGACTTTATACGGCCCGTCATAGGGTGGTTGGAGTGATCGTCGGACAGCGTCATGCCGAACCCAGACGAAATCGCACTTATCCAGGTCGGGTGGGATGAAGGAATTGGCCGGTGACGCCCGAGGGGGCGTTGCGCGGAGATTGCGCATGGCACTACGTAGTCGCTCCACATAACTGCAAGGTTCAAAAAACGTTAGCGTGTTTGAAGGAGAAACTAACTCACCGGGCAGTCGTAGGGAGGTTCCGTAGACAAGATCAGCTGCAGTGCAACCGATGTCGGCCTTGAGAGTGAACGGAGGGACAACAGCACCAGGGGAAGGTGATCAGACCATCGGGAAGGATCGGGCTGGGCCATAAGGGAAGTCTTGAGCTGTCGATGGAGGCGTTCGATAAGACCGTTTGCTTGAGGGTGGTACGCTGTTGTTCGGATTCGGTTGGTACCGAGAAGGGATGTGAGTTCGCGAAACAGCGTGGACTCGAATTGGGATCCGCGGTCAGTGGTGACAGTCGCAGGAACTCCAAAATTGGACACCCAATGAGTCAAGAAAGCTTTCGCAACGGTTTCAGCACTGATGTCCGGAATGGGCGCAGCAACCGGTCACCGAGTAAAGCGATCAATACATGTCAGCATATAGGTAGAACCGTTAGATGGTGGCAGCGGACCTACCAGGTCAATATGTACATGACTGAAGCGTGCATCAGGGGTGGCGAAAGTTCCTGGCGGAGTAATAGTATGCCGATGCGTTTTGGCTCGTTGACATGGTAGACAGGAGCGGGTCCAACGCCGTACATCCCGGTTGATGTTGGGCCAGACGAATCGGTCAGTGATGAGTTTCACTGTCGCCCGGACTCCAGGGTGGGATAGAGTGTGAAGGCCGTTGAACACGTGTCGTCGTAAAGTTGCAGGGACAAAAGGACGTTCGTGTCCGGTAGAAAGGTCACACGTGATGGTGCCTGTGCCAGTGGGAAGGGGGACATCTTGAAGGCGTAAAGAAGAGTTCTCGTGGCGGTATTGGGGAAGTTCGCCATCCGATCGTTGAGCCTCAGCCATGAGCGTGAAGTCTATGACGTCTGTTGTGATGGAAGCCATCTCGATTCTTGAAAGAGCATCAGCAACCACATTTTCCTTACCGTGGACATGTTGGATGTCGCAGGAAAACTGTGAGATGAAGTCGAGATGACGAATTTCACGGGGCGAGTAGCGATCGGGAGAGGCCCTCAGTGCAAAAACTAGTGGCTTGTGATCTGTGAGAACAACAAATTCAGGACCCTCGAGGAAATGGCGGAAGTGCCGGATAGATAGATAGACGGCAAGGAGTTCGCGGCCGAAGACACTGTAGCGGGTCTCTGCTGGGCTGAGCTTCTTCGAGAAGAAAACCAGAGGTTGTAGAACACCACGAACAGTTTGCTGCAGTGACGCACCAACGGCAGTGCTGGAAGCGTCTGTCATGAGAGTTAGTTGGGCATCTGAGCGAGGATGGGCAAGCAATGTTGCGTCCGAAAGTGCGGCCTTGACGTCATTGAAGGACCTGACGGCCTCCTCGGTCATCACTAGTGTCTTCTTGGAGTGGGTCAGCAAGCTGTTGAGAGGCTGCAGTATGGTGGCACCATGGGGAAGAAAACGGTGATAGTAGTTCACCATCCCCAAGAATCGGCGTAGTTGGCTGATGGTTGTCGGGACGGGGAACGTTGATATGGCCGAAACGTTTGCCGGGACGGGCTTTATCCCATCTGAGTTCACTTCGTGACCAAGGAAGATAAGACTGGGGACTCCAAAACTCACATTTGGCGGCATTGATGATAACGCCGTAGGAGTCGAGCCGTTCGAAGAGCTGTCGAAGATGAATCTCGTGTTCAGCAGCGTCAGAACTAGCCACTAGCAAATCATCAATGTAGGCGTAGACGAAGTCGAGACCTCGCAGAACCTGATCAATGAATCGCTGAAAGGTTTGAGTGGCGTTCATCAGACCAAAGGGCATACGAGTAAATTCGAATAGCCCAAAGGGAGTGGTCACTGCAGTCTACGGAACATCACTGGCCTCGATCGGGATTTGGTGGTAGGTACGCACAAGGTCGATCTTAGAGAATATTCGCTTACCATGTAGCGAAAGAGTGAAGTCTTGGATGTGCGGGACGGGATACTGATCGGGGACAGTCACAGAGTTCAACGGTCGATAGTCACCACACGGTCGCCAGTCGCCATTCTTCTTGGGGACAAGATGGAGGGGTGATGCCCAGCAGCTGTCGGACTGTCGGATGATGCCGAGCTCAAGCATGTGATCGAACTCTGCCTTGGCGATCTTCAAACGGTCCGGAGCAAGACGACGTGGTCGGCAAGATTTGGGAGGTCCATTGGTGGAAATGTGGTGGGTGACTGTGTGTTTGATGTCCACTTCACGAAATGAGGGGTTGGTTAGGCGGGGAAACTGCCTGAGGAGTGAGTGGAAAGGACAGTCAGAGATGGGCATAACAGTAAGAGGGCTGACGCAGGGGTTCACATCGGATTGACAACGGGCATGAAGGTCGGTAATGCAGTCGACGAGTCGGCGATTCTTCAAATCAACTAGTAGATTGAAGTGAGCTAGGAAATCGGCGCCTATGAGGGCGACGGAAACGTCGGCAATAATGAAAACCCATCGGAAAATTCGACGAAGGCCCAAATCAAGTGTGATGGAACGCTGTCCAAATGTGGAGATGCTGGAGTTGTTGGCAGCTGTTAGACAAAAAGAGCTGCGGGTTTTACGTTCGGCCGGAGTTGGTGGAACCACGCTAACCTCGGCACCAGAGTCGACAAGGAATTTGGCGCCAGCGATACGGTCCCAGAGAAACAGACGGCGAGTGTGAAGATTGGCAACGCTTTCAGCAGCAGTGGCCTCTACTGTCGGGTGGGATCGTCTCCCTGAGGCCGTTCCAGATGCCTTGAAAGAGCATGGCTGAAGACATCGTCGAGCTGCTCCTCCAAATTGTTGGTGATACCAGCAGACGCTATTTGGAGATTGTGAACGGCGGGTGTGAGAAACGGAGGGAGTACGGCGACGGTTTGGTGTTCGCCGCGGGCCGTTAGTGGTAACTGCAGTGATGTGGGCTTTCAGGCGCATAAATACCTCCTCGAGCCGATCCAAGCGTACGCTAGCTCCTTGAGAATTTGAGTTGATGAGTGACTTCTGGTCTTGGGACATCGCGCTGTAGGTTGCCCGAAGATTGTTGTCGTGGACGAAAAGTTTGCGGAATTCTAGTGTTCGGAAATTAGGGGTCACCAATTTGTGGCGGTCAAGGATGTGAGATCGACTTAAACCACGCACAATAAGTTCGTTTCGTCTACTGTCAGAAGTCAGGGAGCTGTGAGGACTAGTTTATTCTGTACACAGGGCAGGTTGCCGTAAGTTGGCGGTTTGCTTGCAACAGAGAAAAGCGTCCGTTCAGGGAGAGCGTCAGTCGCGGTGTGTGTTGTTTACGCGGGTGTGACTGTCTAGGTCAGAATGAGGGGATGACTGGCTGAGTGTTGGTTGTGTGATTGGACAAATTAGGGGGGGAATGGAGGGCGCATACTCACGAGGCCTCACGGGAATCATCCAGAGCGTTCGACGCGCGTTAGGTGATACTAGTTTGTGAGGGCAGCCGGGAGTCACTGCAGCTGGACAGGAGGGGCCTCAGTTCTAGCCGGTGTGGGTGGTCGTGTGTCAGCGGCCTGTCAGTGCTTGTCACGGCCATCGACCGACAAAACGGAGCCGGAGAAACGGGGGGCTGGAGCGGCTGCTACAATGTTTTCGCATACAACCGTGAACTTATATTCCGTCAACAAAAGTATCCCCTTATTCGCTGACAACCATTATTAATAGGCTACACGTCGATCGTGCGCAGAGGTACCGCCCCTTGTCGACAGCGTGTCAGTTTGTGTTTCACTTCACAAGTACGAAAGTGGAGTATATCCAGCTGTGGGATGCATTATAATCAGTCACGACATAGTTTCATGAGATTTCAGTTTATTTCCGTTTCAGTTTACATGGTAGGGATGACAGGCAAGGTCATTGAAAACACTAATGATAAAATGAAAGCTCGTTAGAAATAACTGTACACGAACAATGAAAATATTCGCTATTAAAACGGTACTTGAATCATTTGAGTAGCGTTGGTTAAGGGAAATTTCCGGGGTATAGAGATATTTAGCCCAGGTTCAGGCTGTCCAGGGAAAACAGAGGACACAAATGACCATCCAAAAGTTAATTGAAGAGTTGGAGGGGCGTCGCCTACATGACTGGCTGAGGGAGATCGTTCCATTTCTCCACTACTCTTTGCGTGAAAAATTCATCGCGAAAATTCAGTCTGGATATTTTCGTCCGTAGCTTCATCGAGTGACCACGAAGATTGGGTGAAAGGTGTCACTGAGACATGTCCTCAAAGCTAAGTCCACGCTCAAGGCCATGCATTATCTTGTTGACGAGGATAAGGTCACTTCTTTGCTGCCTGTAACACAGAGGGAATAATTTAAGACAGATCACTCTGTCTTTTCAGGATTGGCTTTTTAAACCGTTTACCAGCTTTTTTGTACGACTTTGTACCATTTCAAGGCATGTTTGTCAAAGCCGTCAAGCTTGTATGCCATATTCTAAATGGGGTCGAACAAATATGCCGTAAACTCTTCCAAAAAGTATTTGTCAAAGGTTACGAACGCCCTTTTGGTGGCATACAGCACCCCTATGGCGTTTTTTTGCAGCCGTATTGCACAGAAGTGCTAGTTTCATGTCGCTCTGTACCAAAACCCCGAGATCCTTCAGTGAAGGTACTGTGGGCAGTCTTATTTGGGTGCAAAAGGATTCCATGTCTTTCCGGGATTTTTAAAGGCAGGAGGAATGAGCAGACGCCATTAACAAGAACTGCTCAGTGAGGGCTAATTTCTCTGATTTTAGGAAGGCGTTTGATATCGTGCTCAGTCGGCGATCTTTACAAAAGATTTTGCAGTGTTAAATCCAGGGCGGTGTTTTTAAGTGGATCAAAAACTTCCTGTCATCTGTGCTGCGAAAAGAAAACGTTGGTACTACAGCATACTAGTGGGTGAAAGGGGAGAGCGGTATTCCATAGAGTTCTGTATTTGACCCTCTTCCCTACCTTATCAACATAAACGATCGAGCTGAGTGTCTTAACTGTGATGTAGCCATGTTTTCAGATGATACGAAAATGTCTAAAACAGCTATCTCTTATGGAGACTCATAGTAACTACAAGAAAAAGTTAAGGGTGGTGAGCTCGACTTCTCACCAAGAACGAGTTCACCCCCTGTAACTCGTTTCCATTTTGTCCTCCCATTATGCGCTTGTTTGAGCTATTTCACATTTGCGTTGCGAATAAGGCAATCAAAGGTAT